CTCAAGAGGTCTTAATTCGGCCCTGGAAATGTATATAACTTAGCTCATTGTTTTACATCAATTTTGTAGCATTTAAAAATAGGAAAAGGCTTTCAATTCTTTAAACGCTCAATAAATTACACGCAAAATCCATTTGATGCGTGTAAAGGAAAGATAAAAATCGATTTGATAACATATAATCACTTGCTTTTGTTATGTGTGGTTTAAATTTATTCTTTTATATGTTAGTAACATTTATTTTATGTTTTCAAATATCGTTTCAGTATTTTATTTTTCATTTCATAACTGACGTCGGACAGCCGACCCGAATCTGAGTTTTCGACTCTGTAACCTTGCAATTTTGAACCCAATTCAGAAGACAAGGGAACTAGTGAATCAAGCATTGACAGATATTTGCCATCGAGGAGGACTTTTTGATGGAACTAATCCCGCAGTAGCGTTACATGGAGGGGAAATAAACACGAAATACACGAAAACGTCCCACAATTAGAGGATATTTAACCACTGAGGATATTTAACGTCAGCACTGCAGTCGATGAGAGCCGGTAGCAGAATTCGTACCGAACAATCATCGCTGGGATTCGAACCCGACTCACTTTATTGGAAGGCGAGCGCTTTATCCAATGAGTATCCACCAGTATTTAAAAAATAATGAAATAAAGCAAAAATTTTAAAAACAGCATTTTTCTAATATAGTTAAATAAAAAATAAAACAATTTTATTTTCGTCATGCCTATAACGACAACGATAAAAAGGAGGAGCACCACTTTCTAAAGACATAGTGTGGCTTTACGGTTGTGATTGCAGCTTTATTGCAAAATTAATTCATAAGTTTTTTTTTTGGAAAGGGGTCGGAATTGCGATTGATGATTAGAGGGTCAATTTTTTTTTATTTGCAAATTTAGGAAACAACTTTAACTAGTAGTCCTCAGATGCAAAGCTTTAGTTTACATTTTTAAGCACACTCAAAAATTTGTCGAAATTTTGATTGGCAATAAATTATATTTGAGAATAAATTCTGCTTGTAGGAAACTTGTATTGCGATTGCAACTCTATTGATATCCAGAAAGGAATCATAATTGAAATTGACATTAAAATTCTTTTTGACTTTAATACCGAGAGCGATGTAAATATGACTAATTCCTGATTAGTTAACAGTGATATAGCTCTTATATAGACGGAGAGAAAAATTCTGGTAAAATTACCGAACTGTATATTAATAGCATTTCTGGTAATGAAAAAAATCGAAAAAAAAAAACAAACAACATAATTATGGTTCATAAAACCGAAATATATGGTAGTATGGTTTATAACCAATAATTTATAAATTTTTCCGTTCACATTGTAGCAGCTTGCCGAAAATTCTGATTTACAATATTATAGTTCTTATTACTGTATTTTAGGGGTGCTCAACCTGCGGCCCGCCAACCCTCGATGTGCGGCCCGCGGCCGCAATCTGAACAAAATGAAAAAAAAATTAAATATTTGTTTTTGAAAAATAATAAAAAAAATTCGGTAATTTAAATTTACAGTTTTAAGTTTTTGACGCACCCAATCTCAATCAACGTAGTTTTTCGATGTTTAACGCTACGGATTTCAGCATAGTTTTAAAAATCCCAATATTTTTAATACATCATTATTACGATTTACGAATTTTAATTACCACTTTTGACGCTTTTCGTACGTGCCGATTCCAATGACTTTTCGGTAATTATTGCTACCCATTTTCAAGTAGTTTCTGAAACAGCGATTTTTGAAAGTTATGAAACGCTTTATTTGTGCAAACTTCATGGAAAATCTAAATGACTTTAGATCCTTTCTTCAACAGTTATTGCTGCACATTTCCGCCCGGTTTTTAAAACTTCGATATTTTAGCACGATATTATTACGAATCGCGAGTAAAGAATCGCTCATTTAGATAACCATTTTTTGACATGGCTTATTTGTAACGATTTTATCGCAAATCAAATTATTTTTCAATCGTTATTTTAGAAATTATTGCTACACATTTCTACAAGGTTTTGAAAGTACCGATATTTTTTATACGCTATTGCGACATTTTAATTTCAAATCCCGCATTTAAATTACATAAAATTTTGATGGACTTTATTTACTCCAATTTCATCTGAAATATAAAAGTATTTTGGTTATTGTTTTAGTAGTTATTACGTTTTCCCCGTGATTTAAAAAGATTATGATATTTTTAATACTATGGTTTGACAGCAAGCGAGTTTTGAATCGCGCATTAAAATAATTATTTTTTACGTGCTCTGTTTGTGCCGATTTTATCATTTGCGTTGTACCGATTTTAACACGCATTTTTTAAGAGGTTTTTCGAACGTGTTTTTTCTTCTTTCCCGTTATTGCTGCATTTTTATTTGTGATTTAGAATATACCTGATATTTTCACACAATATTACAACTCGTGAAATTCGATTCAGTTTTAATTTTTTTTCGTAACTTAAAAAGTAATTACGTATCTTAGCCAAATCAACACCTTCCCAGGAAAAAAAAACGAGATGTGTTTATATTAAACGCGGTCCGTTTTGCAAAAAAAATAATTCAAAACACGGCATAATTCGTTAGTCCCATGAACACGTGCAAGTTTAACAACACACATCGAACCTATTCTTTTTGTTGTCACATGTAATTTAAAAGTCATACATCGTAATTTGTATTTACGCTATCTGAAAATTGCGCATCGCATTTCGTATTAACATTAACGAGATTTAAAAATAATCCATCGCGTTTCGTATTTACGGGATTTAAAATCACATATCGCGATTCGTGTTCTGGCGTTTAAAATATCATCCGTTGCTACTTTTCTCGCACGCGTTTTAAAAACCATATATCGCGAAACATATTCATGCATTTTAAAAATCAAGTGTTGTGAGTAGTCCTTTGCAATTAAAAAGCCACACGATTCGTATTCACGCGATTTGAAAAGCAAGCATCGAGTTTATTATTTACGCAATTTAAAAATCATACATGGCAATTCGTATTCAAGCAATTAAAAAATTACACATAGCAATTCTTATTCAAGCAATTAAAAAATAACGCATCGCTATTTGTATTTCCGCGATTTAAAAACCCAGAAAGGAAGAACACCATCTAGGACAAATTCCAAAACTGATTATGTTATTTGCTCTAAGCTTAATACTACCCACAACAACAGCTTTTGTGGAAAGACTGTTTTCCAGAATGAATTTGGCCTGTTCAAAATTACAGAGTAGTCTTTAAATACAATCATTACATTTTCATTTAATGGCTCAAAAAATATCACATGATCAAGTATATAAAATTATCACAATATTCAAATTTAATATAAGAAATTTTTTAAACCATTTTCTATCTTCTTGGAGCATTTTATATCATTTATGATTATATGCTGGGAAATGATTTGTATATCATTAAATTTTAACTGTATAAAAAATTTAATCAAGATAAGTTTCGAAAAGTAATGTAAATTTTATTGATTGTTAATTGATTGTGTATTAATTGTAAATAGTAAGTGTCATGTTAAAAATATATTCGTCATAAAAAGTTGTAAACAAGTATCTTAATAGTTTTTTATTATTAAGGAATATAGTTCCTTAAAACTTAATGTGTTTTCTTCTTTCTTTTTCTTCCCTCTCTTAGCCTCTTATTATTAATTTAAAATAAAAATGTCTGAAAGATAAAGTACATTCTCTAATAAATGCTAAGTCTTATTTTCCACTTAAGGGGTTAAGTTTTAGTTTTAATCATTTTTAACCCTATAAACTTTATTTAAATCAAAGTATTTAACTTGAATTTATATTAATGACTAGAATATTTATTTATTTGAAATTTAATTCTATGAAAAAAAAAATTAACGTTAAAATTTATGTTTAAATGAACTTTTGTATTTTGTAATGTGATAAAAAAAATTTAAATTTCTCCATAGTTTTTTAATTATTTCAATTTATCTAAATTTTTTCCGATAGATTGATTCTGATTTTCGAATTCTGTTTTCCTTCTTAAGTAATCAGTTTTGCATTTTCTAATTTTAAACGTTTTAAAGTATTGTATTTTCTGCAAAGAGATTACAAGGTTAACCGACAAAAAGAATTTAGTGTTATAAAAACAATGATGTTTATATAACAATCACCACCAACAATAGCTTTCAATATGTCGGTCTAAACACTTTGGCATGCGGCCCTTGATTGGTCAATCTGCTGTGCATGTGGCCCGTCACTGAAAAAGGTTGTGCACCCCTACTGTATTTAGTAAAAATACAAGACTGAGAAATAAAAGTTGACCGAATGAATTATTTTTATGCCATGCTTTAAGGTATCATGATAAAATTACCACATTTTCGCATTATGGAACGCTAATTTTATCAAAACCTATTCGGTAAAAATTAGCGGGCTTTTTGGCATTGCCATAAAGGCAGAAACACAGTTAATTGTACCATATCCTGATAATTTTGGCCATAAATTTTTTTTTTTCACAGCGTAGATTTAAACGCTCTATTTAGTTAGAACGTGCAAGTTACTCGATTGCAAAAGATTCCTTGTATTTTTAATCTGAATTTCTATTTTCAGATTTTTTTACTAATAGAAAAAAGAAACAAATTTAAGAAAAGCTGGAAAAAAAGCAGACTTTAAAGTTTCCGGCTGAAAGCAAATAAACAATTATAATATAATTCTAATAGAGAAAAAATGGTCTCGAAAAAAAGCAACAAAAAAAATTTAGTAAAATTGACAAAAACAATCACAGCAAACAAACACAATCACAGCACAAAAACAATCTCGTTATATATAGTTTCAAAACATTTGTAATTATCAAAAACTATTGGTATTTAAAAAAAAAAAAATTGCCAAAGTGCGAAAATTTTGTGGTTTTTTTTTTTCGAAAATGAGAAATAAAATTTCAAAGTATTCAGAAGCCATCTGAAAATTTTATCATATAAATTGCAGAAATAAAAATTAATTCCACTAATTTTAAATTTTATCTGTAAAAGAACAGAAATTATAAAACCTTTTAAGATCTGTCCAGCAGTAAAGTCGTCAGGAGTCAATGGAAGACCTGTAAAAAAACAAAAATTATTTTTGTCACAATCGAACACAAATTGTAAACATATCATTGAACCCTGAAAATAATTCAAAGTTTTTATTAAAATCTGTGTTTCTCAAAAAAATTATAGCGAGCTTATCTTGGTACATAATATATATATTATACATTTTTTTTTAATATTTCTAACAATTTGAAGTTTATAAAGCATGCATATTATGTGTCATAAAAACAAAATTTTAGAAGATAGCGAACAAAAAGACAAACGTCTTCAATCTCTGATCAATCAATATTGAGATTCATTAACATTTTGAGGTTACAAACAACATCGCGTCTTTAATAATTATTTAAATATTAATTTGCGTACATGGTTTTTTAATTAATATTTTGCGAAGATTCCAAAAATATCTAATGATAACCAGAAGCGTAGGTAGGGTTCACAGAACCCGGAGACAAATGCAGTTTTCGCGCCCCTTTGCAGCATGATGTCTCATAAAAGAAGACTTTTCCGAACGATTTTATGTTTTAGAATATGTAAAATACTGAAATTCAGCTCTCTTTTTTCATTTGATAATTTTTTGAAAATCTAAATATAGCTTTTTAAAACAAAGTAACGCGATATAGCTTCCTAAATTTTTAATCGATTCGATTTAAAATTACTGTACTGTTGAAATATGATTTTGTGGGTATTACCTCATATCTTAATGTCTAGTTTCATTTAAATTGATAGTTCTGGAGTTATCGGCGAAATGTGAAAGTCATCTTAATTTTGAACACGTCTAAGTTAGTTAATATTGAAATCAAGTTACTACTATAAGAGAGTTAATAATGAAACAAGAAATGCAGCGATTGTAACTTTTCAAGACATGTGACCACTTTCTCAAAAAGTATAATATTTTAAAGGATTAAAAAAAACTGTTGATATAATATAACTAAATTATAACTTTTGAAGAATTTCTCAAAACGTGATATAAACGATAAAAGACTCATTTCTAAAAGGAAGAAAAATCTTAAGAAACGAAAATGAAATAAAATCATTTTCAGAATACTATAAAAAATTTATAATAATTCTCTTTCTATAATAATTCACTAATAAGGAGAGATTTATTATAAAATAACATTGTAATAAATCTTCCCTTAATATTAACCTATAAACAAATTTAGGTAATAGATATTCAAACCCAGTCAGGCATTAGATTATAACATACTATACGACCATAACAAAGGAAATAATTACATACAAATTAGGAAGCCAGGAAAATAATTAAGAAAAAAAGGAGGCGTGGTATTTTAAAAAACAGAAATGAAATAAAGAAATTTTCGGAATACTATAAAAATATTCATAATAAATCTATAGTTATTAAAAAAAAATAAGATAATGCACACGTGGAGAATTTTTGACGAAAAAACTGGGCGACTGATTTCTTGTCGCCGTGTGGCCTGTGGCGAATATAATCTACTATACGTCTATATACATACTCGATAATATATTATGCATCTAATTTTACTTAATATTTACAACCACTATTTATTATTTGAGAAAAAAATGAGAACTTGTTCTGAAATGACGACGCTTAAGCACAAATGAGTAAATACAGGAAAGAGTAATATTATTAAATAGATTCAGATTTAGGTAATTACATATGATTTGTATTTTAGGTATTAGTTTAATGATCAATATAAATCAAGATTTTAAACTCAGTGTAAATAAATAAATGTATCTCACCTAAATCTTCTTCGCTTTCGTTTTCGGTTTTTGCAATATTATGATCCTAGAAAGGAGAAGAAAAAAAAATGCAATGATTAAAATCTTAACATTCCATAAATCCAACGAGTTAAAAAAAATTCATAAATCTTTTAAGTATTAGCACATTTGATGAGGATACTTTTGGACACTCCCCAGGAATGGAATTAATAATTTATGTGTGAAACTTTTTAAAGGATAAGATTAATAGCCGGAACTTCTTTATTCCCTTTGTAAACAATATCTACACATTTCAAATTCGAATACATAATGTTATTCTTTATAAATGCAAAAAGAAACTTTTTAACCAAAAAAATAATAATAATAATAATCTATTTCAAATTAAAACATTCCCTGAGGTAGCAAAATTTATGCTGTGTGTTTGATCAATTTTTTATTAATTTAAATTACGATAATTTCCCCCACCACGCCAAATTAACAATTCAAACCTTTATATGCTTATTAAAGAATTGATAATCACGTGGGGATGCTTTTTAGTGCAAATAAGTTTTTTTTAATTTTCTTTTTAAAGAATTATCTTTACTTTAATTGTTATTTATTGCCATTAGAAAAAAAAATTTGTTGCCAAAAACGTACAAATTTAAAATCTCTATCCAATAGTGCTCTAATTTTCACGCTGCAGTGACGTAAAAAGTGGTTGTATTTAAAAAAAAAAAAGAATAGTAAGTTTACGTTCAAAAGGAATATTCTATTATTCATCTGAATGAATACGTTGTAGATCAATTGATTAATCCGGCTTTTTGCAAACAGACACCATCTTTTTGTATTGCTTTCGGCTAAGTAGAAATTTTTCCAATATTTTCTACAAATATCTATAAAGACTAAAAATATCGATGAAGACTAAGTTTCAAATTAGAACAATAATTGCTATGCAGATTTTGCATGCTTTTTACTTTACTATGTGTTCCTTATTTCCCTACTTTCTGGCTTTGTCTTTTCTATAAAGATGAAAAAAAGATTATGATACATTTTAAGAATCTTACTTTTCTGTTGAAAAAGTCCTCTTTATACGAATCATCTGGGAGACCTAACTTGAGAAACTTTCCTAACCTCAAATCATTTCCTACATTTTGCAAATCATCTTTGACGAACTCAGCAAGGACGCAATCCAAAACCATCAAGGGCACCAGGACACTGAGAAAACGCATTTCGTAAAAACAATGGGTTGCTAACAAAACAAAATAGATATGGAAGAAGAAGTAACCACAAAGAAACAGGTCACTTTATTTATACCTTCTTTCATAAGTCCCCTATAATTAATCACTTTCCCTGTTGTTAATCAACTTGACTTAATGATTTAATTTCCAGCATCAGAAATTTTTTGTCTGGCCTATCCTTTCGAATCGGTGATTTCTCATTTTTTGACAGTGCCGAAAAGGATTGCACTCGACCACTATGTGACTGATAAGTGATAAGAACACCTGATGTTCGACACTGAAAAATCAAGTTTATGATAATGAGTATTAAGTAAATCGATCATTTTGCTGAAATCTGCCCTGATAGACCCATCCTGTTGTTCATCTGCACGCTTGTTTTTATATTTAAGTTGTAGTGTGCAGGGAAGGGGGGAAGGCAAAGGGGTCTACGGCCCATTCATCTAGCCCAGTGTTTCCCAAACTTATAACTTTTGTGAATCCTTTCTAAATTTTTCGTAACGCTGTGTACCACTAATAAAAAAAATAATGTATTTTTTACTATAAAAAAATGCACAAAAGTTAAAAACCGCAACTGGCTGTTGACGCCACCAATTATTATCTGTTAACTCTGCTAAAAATAGCCGATAGAAAAATACGTAATCGTAAATTTTCATGACTAGCTTTGTTTTTAAATAAATTTTTTTGAAATTTTCGTTTGTTGCAAGATATTTTGCATGAGAGAGCGTAACCGGCTAAACTGTTCCCGTACCCCTGGGGGTAAGCGTACCACACTTTGCGAAACACTGATTAGCCAAAGGTATCCAATTGACGATTAAAAACACCAAAATTTTAAACTGATTGATATTATATAATTAAATTAAATTTTTTAACTGATAAAAAGTTGGTTCGAGTAAAATATTTCGTTAAAATTATAATATGATTTTTAGATATGATTAATTTAAGTATGAAGTTTTAGATTATTACTACTTAAATAACTTTTTTGCATAAAACAAAGGGGAAAAAAGATTATTGCACCAAGCAACTGCTATTTTCGCATTAAAAGCATCAATTAACATTTGCCCTATAAGTGATTTGTCTTGCGATAAGTTAAAAATTTTAACAAAAATTATTAATTGTATCCTTTTAATAGAATTAAAATACAATTCCCTATATGAAAAAGATATGCAGATTTGTATGCGACTATTATATCAATCATTAAAATTTAGTAAGTTCAATTTAATTATTGGCTAACCAATTTTTTTTTTTAATTTCTTAAGAGTGACTCTTAAGAGTTTTCTAATAATTTAGATATGAAAAATCTATAAAGTTCCTTTTCGTTCACTTCAACTTAATCGTTGTAAATAGCAATTTTTTTTCTTCTTTTCTTTAAATATCCAATTACATCTTTTTTTCGTTTAGCTTTACATTGTGATCTTCAAGGCACTTTTTTTACCTGTGCTACTTTCTCGGTGCAGTTTTTTTTTTCTCAATTTATCTGTAACTTTAGTCTGAAGATTTTATTTTCTTCAACTTTTATCCGATTCACCTCAATCACGTGAAAAAGCACGGAAAAAAAGTACGAAGAAAATGAAAAAAAAAAAAAAGAATTTTATGGGAAGAATTTTAAAAAAAGTTGCGACTGTTTAATGATTTTACTGACCGATTAATGGTCAAGACATGACCTTATGATCGATAGTCGTATATTTTTAGACATTTAATCGTAGTAAAGAGGTGAATGTGAACAAGTAATAAAATTAATTATTTAAACTATTGCAGTTTTATAAAAAGAGCCAGTATAAGCAAAATGGAACTGATTTCAACCTAAAAATACAGTTCGACGTAAATAATATTTATATTTTTTTAATTATAATTAATGTTAAGGTCTAATAAGTATTAATTATAATTTACAAGTGAACTTAATTCCAACTAAGTTTTAAAAAAAATAACGGTTTCAATATAATTTTTTTTTTTAATTTAGAAGATTTTTTTTAATTTAAATTTGAGTTTTATTTTATTAACTATATTTTGCAAATTAATCTTAAATATCAGCTGAGAAGAAATGATAACATTTCGGAAATATCAATTTTATACATGATAGATAATTTTATAAATGATAATAATAGAAAGAAACAAGATTTCACAGGTACAAGCATTGTTTGAAATTATGGAAAAAGATAATAAAGAAATTTTATATGTAAATTAATTAGGTACTTTTTGTCCGGTGGCTCAATTTTCTTGTTGCTTTCTCTCGTGCTTTATTACGGTTGCTTTTTTTCCGCTTACCGATTTGCCTAGTAGTTGGTTAATGGCATATATAATAAAGTAGTTTTCGATGCACATGGAGTATTTTTAACAAAAGACAACGCAATGTTCGAAAATGCCTAAAAGTCAAATTTAACATTTCTTTTCTCAAAACTACCGAGAAAAAAGAAAGCTAACGCAATAGAATTTAGCAGCATGCAAGCTTGTTTCAAATGTTTAAAATTTCAATAAAATTAAATTAATTTAAATTTTAATTAAATCATGTTTAAAGGTATTGTGCCTTTGTTTCTTTTCAAGAACTTATGCCTTTTAAAGCTCAGCTCCTATCTAAGGGGGGAAATGTTTGATTACTTTTAATGTAAAAGAAAAAAAAAACGAAAACAATATTATTTTAATGAAATCCTCAATCAATTAATAAGCATGATAATTTTAATAGCTCTTTAACGTCAATTTATGCACTCATATTGATTTAAGGTAATTTAGATAAAAAAACAAAGTCATTAAAAAGGAAAATAGAATTTAACAATCATTCCATTTTATTTGAAGAAGAAAAGAAAACATAACCGAGGAAGGTTACTCAAAATGGCAGGAAAGTAAGGACAAAGAGGCCACGAAAGTGTGTTGGTGTTAACACAATAATTGCTGCTAAAACATTGATAACAGGTTGATTTCGAACAACCACTTGATTCTGTTGAAATACCGAATTTCTGGGATTCCAAAATATACATATATTTCTATTAAATGTTTCTCATAGTTGGATAAGTGTTGACATCGGCATAACGGTACGTATTATAGTAGATAGAGATTGGATTGGAACAACAATAACTGTCTGAATTACTCTGCAATCAAGTAAACAAAAGGAAGTTTCGGGGATTCCCCCTTTCACACTGCCGGGAGGGAGAGAAGAAAAAAAATTGTATAACGAAGCGTTATATTGTGCGTAACAGATAAGTTGGAGGTGGAAGAATCTGACTAAGTAGACATTTTGATTTGTGGTTATCCGGGAAAAATTAGAAGACTAGATCAGGGATCGCGGAAATGGGAAGGAACTGGACCTTAAGTTACAGTGACCACATTTTCATTGAGACAAAGCGGGACAAATGGGATGAAATGAGAATTACAATTTAGTTATATATATTTCATTGTATACATTCATATACTTGTTCAAAAATGTATTTATTATTAATTATTGGTAACTATAAAAATATTTGTAAAAAATAATAATTTGAACGTCATGATTTTTAATCAAATTAAATTTTTCATTTAAAAAACATTATGATTTTCTTTCACGGTCATATTTTTTATCTGAGTTAATACTTAGCAATAGATTCGGATAATTTATTAAAATGTCGTGAAATATTTCACATGAATTGGTCAAATTATATTTTACACTTAAAATAGATTTTTAAAGTTTTAATGTTCAACTGCGTTTTTTCAGTTATCCATATTTTATTGATACTAGAAAAAACACGTTCTGTTGCTACAGTTGTTCCTGGAAAGGAGAGCGCGAATTCTACAATTTTCAAAATATTTTGATAAGGAATATTATTCTGTTTAAAATGAAGGAATAACTCGGTCCATTTTTTGTCTGTTTCCACATTTGCAGATAACCAACATTTAATTTTTTCATCTGTAACATTTCATATGTTCAAATTATTCTTTTTTAAAATAGTACTTACTGAATCAAAAATTATTTGTGAAGTTTCACTCGGCAATGAAACAAAATCTAATATTCTATATTTAATTCCTGTTTCTGGATCAAAAAATCTAACAATTGTGGGAAATAGTTTTAAATCTTTGTGGTTAGACGCATCAGAATTCATGGATATAAATGCGCATTTTTCTAATTCTTTCTGCAATTGTGAAAACGAATATGGTGAAAAAATATTACAAATAATTGCTTCGGTTTTTGTCCTTGCACATGCATATTTTTTGTCGGATAATGTTTTGATCATTTGCGACGTAGAATTTCATTGATCTGAAACTTTGATTTCGAGATCAAGGTTTATGGTGTGGAAAGCAAATAGCCCTTCCGCTAATGCTAGCTGTTTTTCCGTGTTGCCAAAGCTAGCAGTGCGATAAAACTGTTCCATTTCAGACGACGAAGCGGCATTATTCAAAAATCTTTGTGCCTCTTTGTCGCTAGATGTTTAGTAATATCGTTTTTTCCACCATGTGAGACCAAAAATTCAGCATTGCATTTATCACACCGTACCATATAGAATTTTTTGGTTTTCTTAATAAATTGAAATTCTCTGCTTAGCTCTTCATTAAATTTGCATTCTCTTTTTTTACTCATCTTTTATTCTGTGGGTAAATACTAGAAATGAATAAAAAATTTACTACAAAGGCTGAAAAAGAGTATTAAATTTTGCCTTATTGACCGTTACGTTGTGGCGACTATTGCTCTACCACTATCTTCGTCAATCAAATAATGAGTCAAACCGAACGTCAAATTGAAAACAACAAACTGCACTGTCTGCACTTATCTGAATTAAGCCGAGACGTACCGACAATGATCGAACACCACCGAGTAAATCTAACTCGGTACATTGCCTAATTTAGTTTACTCTGCATGCATTTTACGTGCGTTTTTTAATGTATTTTTTATTTCTTTATATTCGCCATAATACTTAATAAATAATAGGTAATATATTTTTACAGTACATTTAAAATAAGAAATGCAGATATTTTCTAAAAAGCGGGACATTTTTAAAAATCGGCGGGACTCGGGACAGTCCACTTAAAAGCGGGACTGCCCCGCCAAAATCGGGACGTGTGGTCACTTTACCTTAAGTCCACTCATTTTTAATCTTAACCTCTGTTAAGATAAAAAAAAATTTCACTCAATATGTGTGTAATTAAATTTACAATGTAAAAATAGATAATTTTGGTAAATAAAGAAATGATTTAAAAAAAAAAATTGAAATAAAGACTCTCTAAAAAAATATCTCCATTTCAAACGAGTTTTAATATTTCCTTGATAAAAACTGCTACCAAATCACCCCTTACTCAATTCATGACTCAGCGAACAGAATTTAAAAAA